ACAGAAACATGATATTAATAAAATTTGTAAAGTAGTTTTCTGTTGGGTAACGCAAGTTGTTAGAGGGTTGAACCTGGAGAAATCTGGGTCTAACCTGAAACGCACCTAAAGGTTGCATTCAACCTCAAACCGTCCAGATCGGTGGTATGCTATTCCAAACCGTCCAGAACGTTTGCATTCTAACCTGAGTCGCCAGTAGCGGCTTTATTCGAACCCTAACGAGATTGTCAAGTAACAATCATTGTTTTCACGAACGTCAAATCCTCATCACTCACTAAATCATATCATATTTTGAGACTCGAGACAGAGTTATGTACGGTTAAGGCTACTTTCATCGTTTATGATTATGACATCATTCACAAAGAAGAACACAAGCAACAGGAATAGGGAATTCACATAGCAGATATGGGTGTCAGTTAGTCCTCAATCAGACTACCTCAGGGCTGTAAACTACAATTGAAAGAGGAAGTGCATTAATCAATTCAAAAATTTTCATATTGTTAATTGATCTGTTTGGATTGACTGATATAATCATCTGAAGAACATAAATCTCATAACGTTCTTACCGTACTAGTTACTTGTAATATCAATCTTGAACTACCTACCCCTAGAGTAATCCAACCTGTGCCAGTGCATCAAGTCTACAACCTCATTCTACAGGAACGAGTCATCTAATTCGGTTTGAATGAGAAACATGTATACAGCGGGTACACAGCACTTATCCCCCGTCCGTGTACATGTGTCAAAAAAAATTTTAAATTTCAAGTTTTTTAAACATATCATATGAAGAAATAAGAAAATAAAAATATCCTGTGCAGAAAAATCTTTGAAAAGAAGGAAGAAACAAAACAGTGGAAAAACAGATTGAAATAGAACTCCTTGTTCCTCGACAGAAGAAAGAAAGACAGAATGAGAATAAGAGACAACACTCTTTTCTATCCAATTCAATAGTTTCAGGAAGTTGCTCAATCGGCAATCGGTAAGATCAAACTAACATTTCGAACTACAATCATACATGCAACAATCTCTGTAAATTACGTACTGTCAGTGAATTCCAGCCGAATAATGAGAAAATAAAATAAATGAAAAGTGTTCCGAATTACTGAAACTACAACCCACAGTCAGGAAGAGCGAACTTCTCGATAAACTTAATGCATAATGACAAAATTTGAATTAAACAATGGTGGAAACTCATAGGTGTTATAAGTCCACTGTAACACCTGGAAATTTTTGCTTTCTCCCTTTCGGACCTGGGCCTCCATACGCCTCTCCGGACACCCACTTTTTGTGATACACCCAAAGCGTACAGGACTCCTAACCTCACATCATCTTCTGCCTAGAAACTGGCTCAGGTTTATATTCAATTCAAATGAAATCGAAGTTTCATTCAAGACAGGCCCACTAGGGTACTCGGAGGCCACAGAAGGCTGAATATGCTAGAAGAAGTGGAGGGGAAGATATATCATTTTCTTACACTACAGAGAAACGGTCGGGTTGTCAGGTAGAAGTAGGTCGATCGAATGATGCCTTTTCTTTTTTTTTCTAATAGTTAATTATTATTGAACAAAATGTTTTACTATCGCTGTTCTCAATTTCTATTGATCTCCTGGAGTTACTTACATGTATTCTTCTTAACTATAATTTTTTCTCAGACGAAACTATGTTGACTATTCTCTTCATCTGTCTCTGCCTTGGGAGCAATGCATACGCAGGTTAGTTAGTTAAAATATTTGACTTGGACAAAAATAGCATTCGGCTGAAGCTTAAATGA